AAAAAAAAAAAAAAAAAAAAAAGAATCGAAAAATCATCTCCCCCCTTCCCCCCCCCCCTCCCAAAAAAATGTGTGAATATATTCGAAAGCTAGAAGTGATTTGAAAAATTGAGTAGGATCGAGTGTCGAGGATAAATTTCGCATTATTTTGAACAGACTCGTGTGTTGGCGACACGAAAACCTAGCCACCAATCGTTCCCGTTCCATATTATGTGATAAAGAAAATGTGAATAATAATAATAATAATAATAATAATAATGATAATAATAATAATAATAATAATTGATAAATAAATAAACATGCAAAAGATTAAAAATTGAAATAAATCTAAAAATAGCCTTTACATACCATCTTCTTTACACAAATCAACTGAAATATATATTAGGTACATTTTATATATATCGTATCCAAAAGAGATGAGAGATGTGCTTTTTTTTTCTTTTTTTTTTTTTTTNTTTTTTTTGTAAATATATGCATGATGATACGATGAATGGGATTATACGTTATTATAATGTAATAAATTCGCGACAGATAGATAGATGGGCGTGTGAAAGGAAAAAAGAAATAGCGAGGACAATGGAGATATAACACGCGAGAATTTTTTTGGCAGCAGATGCGAGAGAGATACCTGACGAGTGAGATTTCTCTTTGTATATTTTTTTCTCTCTTTTTTCTTCTTTTTTTTTTCTTTTTTTNTTTTTTTTTTTTTTTTTTTTTTCATATAGAATCTCCATGTGCCGATGAATTTGTTTGAAAATTTCGTATATTTCGAATCGACAGATTTGAAATATTCAAAATTTTCTTTCCACGGACTTCCTTTATATATGCAAATTTCAAAATAAATTTTTCTCTCTTTTTTTTTTATAATTTTATAAAAAATTGCTTTTTTTTTTTTTTGCTTTCGGGCATTATGTTCGATTAGCAGATTGGCAAAAAAAAAAAAAAAAAAGAAAGAAAAGAAAAAAGATAGAATAATTCGCAAAAATATCGGCGAATGAAATTTTCCAAGCAAAAAAATAATTAAATTGCGCTAAATCGATGAAATGTTGGAAAAGAAGAAGAATCGCGATGCATATTTTTTGCAAAGTGGATAGAAGAAACATCGAAAGAAATAATTGAAATACGAATGCATTGCGAGAGAGAAATATTTTTTACATACAATATTTGTATGTAACAATATTCGTTTTTTCAGTTTATTATTTAAATACAAGTATGATAATAAATTTCGATTGTCGAGTCATGTCGATCATTTGATTCGAACGTTTGTTTTTTTAATTTTTTTTTTTTTTTTTTAATAGAAAGGATGCGAGAAGCGATTTGCATAACAAGTATATAATCGAAGTTTTGAAAGCAAGTTTCTACGAAAGAATGTTCAAATATCGTGGAAAAATAAAAATGATTAATCGATGCGTTTAACTTTCTGATGAAGCGTCATATGATACACTACTGAAGAGAAAAGTTTAAAATAAACTTAACTTAAGCATTCACTTGAATATATTCGATACTGAAAAAAATTGCAGGATTTTCATTCGCAGTGTAATCGAACGAGAGAATTTTTTTGCGATAGAAAAAGTAGAATTTTTTTGAACAAAAAAGAAAAAATATTTAATCTTTGATATTTTTTTTTCCCCTATAAAAAATTTGGAAAAAAAATTAAGAAAAGAAACATCATAATTTTGATATTATTCCGAATTAAAATTTCGAGGAATAAAGAAAATTTTATATTTTAGTAATAACAATTTTTCTGAAATATTGCTTTTTAAAATTACAATGCCATATTTCAAAAATTCAAAATAATTCGAAAAATCCATAATATATTTCTAAGATTCCGAAAAAAAATATTTCCCATAATTAAAAATTTCAAATAAAATAAAAATAAATATTTTACGGGATTCTAAATAAAAAAAATTACACACAATATTAAAAAAAAATTTCTTTCATTAATTGATTAAATTATTGTATGAATTATTCAAAAAGTTAATTTTCCGCAAAAAAAAATTTCCACGTGGAAACCATTTTTTTTTTTCTCTTACTTCCTTAGTCAAAACACCATCCCTAATTCGATTACACCACAAATTGCATCGCGGTTCGAAAATTCGTCGAAACGAAACGGAAGTTAAGAGACAAACGATCCTCGATGTTGGAAATCAATAATGGAAATCTAAAAAACGCAACTGAGGAACTGAGAAAACGAATAGAAAAGCGAAGAAATCTTCGTTTCGTGCCGCGACACGAAAGAAGAAAAGAAGAAAAAAAAAAAAAAAAAAAAACGTTAATAATACGTAATAATACAAAAAGCTTCCAAGCATAATTCGAAACTGCATCAACACCACGAATAATCACTAGCAATACTCAAGTTTTAATTATATTTCGGATATTAGAGCGGCACATTGAAAACACAGAACAGAATTCACATTCTTTGCTTACAATCAATGTTTTCCAACCTTTTTTTTTTCAGCTTTTTGTCATTATCTCTCATAATGACTAACAAACGAAAGCAAGTTGAATATTTTGATTAAACGTTTTATTATTGATTCAAGATATATTGAAATATATTTGAAACTGCACGCGCCCTCTAGCTTCGAAACGAAGTTGGAAAGATTGAGGTTAGGTTAATTGGATCTTTATCTTTTCCAACAAATGTGTCGCGAAAGAAATTTCCAACCTTTTAGTTTTCTCGTATGTTTCGAGGTTATGAGTAAAATAATACTATATTTGAAGAGAGGGCAGTATGTAATTTTAAATATTTTTAATTTTTAATTAAAACGCCCCATTGTTGGAAAACACTGGCTTACATCCATCCACTGCCAAATTATTTGTCTGCATCACGAGAGATAGATCGAAGTCCTGTGATTAGTAATGGTATACAGGATTTCGTACGAACGTTTTTTCTTTTAATAATTCTTTTTAAATAAATTTCTTCGATTTTCTCGATTTCTATCGACAAGTAGCTTCAGTTGAAATAATCTATCTTCGATTCTAAATTTAAATTCAAAGAACTTCGATACAAGCAGATTCTGGTCTTTAAAATGGCGTCGTGGATAGTTTTATCTTTTTGAAGAAATTATTGTATTTCGACATCTATGAATCGTTTTTGCTTTTGAATACTATTATATTATATCGTTATTATACAAGGTGTTCCAAAAATGTGGAAATATAACTGGAAATTTCTTAGATAATTTCAAGATATCATTTAAAAATATAAGATATCAATTTAAAAATTTATTTGATAAATTTAAATTGGGGAAATTTAATAGAAATTGCATTTAAAATGAAATAATTCTTCTATAAAATTTCCAACGCCATTTTAAAAGCATCTTTTATGTACTGACTCGAACAATCTCGGTAATTTATAATCCCCTAAAGAGTAAACTGAGATGGGAAAAAGTTTAAATAGTTCGTTTTACACGGAAAAACGAATTAAAATTATTAAGTAAATTTTAAAATTTAATCCAATTTACCGAGATCAAACGAGACAAACACGATTTTCACGTACGACAGAAAAATCACAAATGAGCTTTCTATTCCGAGATACGTTCAAAATACAAAGACTGGAATAAACTCGATGATTTTACTATTGTTGAAACAGATTAATAGTATAAATGTTACTGTAAAATTGTTGATTTTTGAGAATTGAAAATTTAAAAAAATATAAATAATTATTTTTAAGATAATAATACTCAAATTTCGATTTTGATAATATATGCTTATCTGGTAGAGAGAGCATAATTTTATCTTTGATTTTTTATACATACAGGAAATATGATTATAAAAATAACTATCTCTAAAGATACCAACTAAACAAATATTATAAAAATAACTTTTACTTGATACAAATACAATATCATTTCATTCTTAGAATTATTTAAATAAGAAAAAGTCACACCTCATTAATTGTGAATGTAATTTAAAAATCAAAATCCAATTCAAACCTGATTTAAACCAAATACTTAATATCCCTTGTTCTAAATTTTCTCTTTCATTTTCTAATTTTCATCCAAACCAAATTGAAAAAGATAGACAGAATTGAAAAACCTTTAACTAAAAAAAAGTTAAACATGAATGTCCATAAATTTACCAAGTGAATTTAACTTGAAGACTTTACCTTCCAAATTCCCTCACACCTTTAATCAAACAACACTTTAAGCATCAAAAGATCATCAAGACACACGCTTTCTTCTATACAACTTCACTCTATCCACAACAATCCACAACAATCAAGAATTAATTCCACAAGAAAAAGAAACAAATATCCAAAGTTAAAAAAGTTTTTACAGTAACATCCGCCATGATAATCTGTTCAACGAAAAAAAACACCAAACAGTCCTCCAATCTCGACATATCCTATATATATATATATAAACGTTCCATCGTCAAGAAAAACGAGAAGGAACCCGGCGTTGTAAAAGAATATATATATTATCGAAAATGATCGATTTTGATTTAAAACGGCCGAGGAACATCGTAAAAAAAAAGCAGCTAGAAACAACAACAATCAACGGCTATAGTAGCTACTGCCACTGAACTCGGGCGGAAAGAGGAAAAGAAACATTTAGTCAAGAAAAAACCTTACCTTTCCCAATGGTGTGGAGGGTTGTCCGGTCGGTGCCGGATCCTTGATGTAAATGTTCCACGTGGCCACGCTGTTGATGGCTTTGTCGGCGGCGTAACACCTCCACAGGCACTGTATCAACATTGCCGCGGCAGGTATCTGCCTATTGAAGTGTTTCTGCCGTTGCTTTTGCTGCACCTTCAACGCGAAACCGGAGCCCAATATTCCCTGGAAATTTGTGGATATTTTGTATAATAAATTATTATATGATTAATTATATAATTATATAATAATTATAATTATTATATTATATTATTATTTTGTGTAATAAATTTATTATATTGGTTAATTTTTTTTATTTAAGTTTATTTAAAATTAACAGATATCCAAGCTTCGTGACCAAGAGATAAATTCTGAAACGTTTTATTTATTTATTTTGTGTAAAATAAGTTATTATTTATATAAGCATATAATTGTAAATAAAATATACAAGGTAAGTATAAAAGGTAAAGGAAATATTGCACATGTGGATGATTTTATATTAATATTAGTCGATAGATATAATAAAAAAAGAGAAGGATATACATTTAATATTATTATTTATGCCGGCGTTTTTCTCGCAAATAAATAATAGTTTTCAAAAAAGGATAGAAAAAGAAAATGTTTTGCTATACGGTTAATAAATTAAGATAAAGAGTGTCTTTATCTTTCTCATTCTTATATTAAACGTACGTTGAACTAAATATCCGGTATTTGCATGGTCAAATATTTTTATGTTTGCTATTTACAAAATATCTTTGAAGCATATTATTTATTTCGTACATATACGTAAATATTTAAATGTATATACAACAAATAAATACAATATATGTTGCACATCAAATATTTGTACATTCAGATGAAATTCGAAATTATCCATGTTTCGTATTTAATATTACGAAATCTTTGATTCGTTTATTCTTTTCATTGGAAAACAAATAAATATAAAATTTTTAAAATTTGATAAAAAATATATTTATATATATATAACTTACGGCTGGAAGTGCGAAAAAGGATATAGCGAATACGCTGAAACACGAGGCGACTATTTTTCCCATCCACGTTTGTGGGACGGTATCACCGTATCCGATTGTGGTTACAGTAATCTGAAAGAGAGAAAAGATTTTTTTTCATTAGATCGTTGAAAAATTTAATTTCGATCGATTTCGCAAAATTAAAAAAACGCGAACAATTTGCGATCTAAATTTTTTCTAAAAAAAAAGGAAAAATTAATAACAATATAATTGTACAAAAATAAAATATCTGCATTCTAAAAATAGCATCCTAAAATCGTAAAATCGCATGTACGTAAAAAACCAATATCGCGCTACCAATCAGAAACCTCACCGTTTCAACACAATCCCCCGTCCCTATTCACAAACGTGTAACCACACGAATACACGAAAAAGAGAGAGAAAGAGAGAGAGAGAGAAAGAGAGAGAGAGAGAGAGAGAAAGAAGAGAAAAATAAACGAAATAAAAAAATAATTTCTCGTCAAATTCGAGGTCACAGTAACCACCGCCATCGTCCGACGAATATTTTATTAAAACCTCTTTCCTGTCGAGCGTCCCGGTAATTAACGCCAAATTGAAAAACAACCTAATTAAAATTTCAATTCCCCGTCGCGTCTGTCGGATAGGGTTAGAGCGCAGGAACGATTCCAAGAGGGAAGCCAATCCCCTCTTCCTCCCCCCTCCCCCCTCCTCCCCCTCACGGAAAATCGGATGGAAATCGGTTGAACGCGGGCAATCCGCGAGGCGGCGTTAATCAAGCCCGCATTTAAATCTCTCGGCCCCGGCTCCCCCCCCCCCTCCATCGATCCCTTGGCGCTCGTTCGACAACGAGCTAGCTATAAATACAGATATATATTTTCCAAGCGATTAGCGACCGCCGTTTGACAAACAACGCTCGTAGGGATTCGATTCGATTCGATTCGTTTCGTTTCCAGATAGGGAGAAAATCGCTCCGCCCCGAATTAATTATTGGCGTTAATAGAAATTGTATCAATGGACAGGCTTATTAAACCGGTGAGTGAATGAGTGGATTGGGTATATACGTGTGCGTGGTTGGTTTTGGTTTGATCGAGGATTGATTGCTTCGAGTGTTTCTTTCGAGATTATTTTAGATTTGGTATAATTTTAATAATAAAAATTATTATTTGTTTGAAAGAGAGATCATTATTCGTTTGTTTAATCTTTTGGAGAACAATTTTTTTTCGAATTTCTTGACAAAAAAAAAAAAAGAAATAAATGAAATACGGTTTACAATTAACAAGAGATTAAAAATAGATACTTCGTTGTGCGTCTCTTTCGAAAAAGTATATTTGTCTGAATGTATTGTATTTGATGTTGGAAAAAAAAAAAATTGTTCGATCCAATTTTGAAAGATTATTCTATTTTAACGGGTGATCAAATATCTTTTGGACCGTGAATTTAAGCGTTTGTGATATGCGTTAATACATTCTTTTATTTTTTTTTTTTTTCGCCCGCAATATAAATGTTTATTAATTTACAAATGAAATGGTAATAATAATTTTTTTCCTTTATTAAAATTTGTTCGTAATAAAAACTTAAATGTTGCGTAATAAAAACGACAGAGAAACACATTTATGGATTAAAACGAAAGCCTGTGAATGTTTGCTTGATCAATCAGTGAAAATATTTCAAAGCAAATATTTAAAAGCAATTCGAAATGTTCGAATCGGGAAACTTATCGAAAGAAATATCTTTGAGTTTAAATATAAAATTTCAAGAGTCACGTGAAAATATCTTCCGAGAGGATAATTTTGCCTTTCTCTAAATTTTTATTTAATTTTATAAGTCGTTAATTATTATTCTCTTATAATTTCTCTTGTAATTTCGTTTATTTAAATTATTTAAAACGAAAAATTTCTTTTAATAATTATGAATCGATCATTGTTAAACTGGCGAGATTAGAATTGTAAAATTCACGATGATTTGAAAAAAAAAATGGTTCGAAATTCATTTTATTCAATGGAACGTTTATATTTCTTCTCATTTAACTGTATCATCCGGGCAATCGAACTCCTATCGATTATCCCCTACATTAATGTACCAGTTACTACTTCAAATAATTGGCTAATTATTTCATCAATTGATTTAACAATTAAATTTTTATTTTAACTATTTTAACTTTAAATTAATCGTAAATACTTTAAACAAATATCCAAATGAAATACCAATTAAGTTGCACAATTATAAATTAGAAAAAGAAAAAAATAAATTCCATAATTTTAACGACATCAAAAATCAAAATTTTTAGATAGATACATTGATGTAATGCGACACATACATTGAATTATATAAAAATACATTCAAAGAATGAAGTAGATTTTTATTTTTCTAATTATGCTAATAAAAATTCGCAAATTAACCATAATAAAGAAAACAAATTACTATAATAAAACGAATAAATGTGCATTAAAAAATATAATAAAAAGTGAGTTTTCACTCACCACGCCCCACCAAAGTGCATCGGCATAGCTGGAAAAATCTGTTTTTCCATCGGGACCTATTACATCTTTTTCGGCAAGATACACGAAGTAGCTGCTGAAAATGAGACCTAGGAACCCGATGTACAGTGTCGTAATCAGCTCCTATAAAACATCGAAAATATTCTTATTTATAAAAATTGAAAATAAAAAAATATCGAAATTATTGTAAAATAGAATATACATATATTCTATTTTAAATCTGATTTAAGAAAATTAGTAATAACAAATTAATAATAACAATAGTAATAATAAATTAATAATATATTATAACCTATAAATAATATAACTTATATGATATATATTTATACATATAACCTAACCTATACATGTATAATACTTTATATATATAATGAATAAATAGATTATTTAAATCTTTAAGTTAATAAATAAAGTTAATAATAAAATACCTGACGATGGATGAAAACAACAGAGCCGAGAAGTCGCCACGTGCCACCTTGTCGATCGACATGAAGCATTCGTAATATTTGCAAAAATCTTATGCCTCTTATTGCAGAAGTGGCAAATACTTGACCATTGCTTCCTACAGACAGCACCACCATCGACGCGACCACCACGATTAAATCTAAACAAAGATAAAAAGAAGAAAAAACAAATGAAATCAATATACTTATCTTTCTCTTTTCTGTAATAATTCGTATTTATCTTCAAACATATAAGAGAACGAAAGAAATATATATTAATAATCCTTTTTTTAAACACGATGATTCGTAAAACATAAAATAGAATTTAACGCGTATAACGAATATTAATTGCAGTGTTTAGGAAAGCGTTCAGACGACGACTGAGCATATGATTTAGAATTACGTCTCGATTTTGTTTACATACTCGGTCGGTCTATTATCGACGACTTCTCCGAATTGAGATAGTAGGCAAAACATAAAAATAAATAATAGTATTCGTACGATAGCTACGTTTGTTTTCATTACAATTAATCATTCGTAGTAGACTGAAAAAGAATATTATGATATTAAACATTGTCTCGAATGTAAATACATTTAAAAATAAAACTTTCGCAAGTTACTCTCACGAATATTCTTGTAAGTGCGTCTTACATTGTAAATAATTCTCTGAAGATAACTCTCAATGGTATCCATTAACAGAAAATAATTCTCAAGAGTAACGAAAGTTTTACTTTTTTTCATCTGTAAATTAAAATTCACATATATAAATATGTCATAGAAAAAAAACGATTTAATACATATGAAAGAGATTTATAGAGATTTATAGACTACGTTTCAATTTCGCATATTTTTATTCTCGTCAATACAACTTTTTTTTTTCGAAATATAGAAATAAATGATAGAATTCACAAGATTCATATGAATCGTATTAATCTCAAAAAATTCAGATAAATCTTCATTAATCAGAATGTATAGATGAAATAAGATATATATAAGAAAATATAAGAATATAGACGAATCACACGCCTTTACTAACTACTTTAAGGCCTTAACGAGACAAATAAAGACAATTTTGACACCGGAGGAAATTTCGCCTTTCAAAGAGATCTAATTTCGACCACGACAATCGGAGGACGCGAATATTGGATTAACCCTCGGGCACAGAGCTAATTGAACTGGGATCAGGTGTGCATTAATGGAACGCACTACTCACCTATGATACAAATCGGTTTCCGTATGAAGCGGAGCCTGCCGCAACAACCCATATACTTCGATCTGCAACCCGCGCTCCATAATCTCACCAAGTATTCCACACCGAAGAATACCACCAAACATATTTCCTGTGAAAAAAAAAAAGAAAATGTATGAAAATATTTTTCTTTTTTTTTTTTTTTTATGTTTCATTCTTTCTTTCTCTAAATAACTTAATTACCGTAAATTTTTATATGCAAATGCATATTTTTCATATTTTTCTTGTCATGTTATTTTTATTTAAATATATATGATAATTGAATATTAATAAAATTATGAAAAAGATCCCAATTGTTTTGTGTAAAATAAAACAATCAAGTCCAATTTTTTCAAACAAACAAGAGAAGCTATTCTTATGTAATATTATAGTGTAAATTTTATAATAAGTAAATTTACATAATGAAATTGCTGATACTTTATAATGTATATTACATAATTAATCATGTTTATGTAATAACATATTTTCTATGACTATTTTTACTTTAGCTGTATAAAAATTCGTAATTCTCTTAAAATAAAAAATGGATAACGATGAATAGTGAGTAATATTTTTCTTTTTATTTTTTTTTTAAATCCAAAAGGCATAATTTTAAAATCTTCTGAAATGGTCTAAAAAGAGTTTAAATTAAGCTATTAATTATTACATGAATAACGAGCAATATCTCTTTCTAATCATAAAAGACTATATCTAGTTTAAATAATTTTTCTGAAAAATGGATAAAGAATATTATGGAATAATCGCATCTTCATTTCGTATCCATATTCCGTACATTCTGCCAATTGAAGTTCCATTCACGATTTTTCCCCCTCCCTTTTCATGCAATATGAACGGCGCTTTATTCTCCACGTTACCGTAAAAACCTCTTTTTTAACAGGAGTTTGAATAGTCCATTGGGTTCAAAGGGTTAACCTTTTCGAAGAATATCTAACTCCGCATTTCATATGGATCCAAAGTTATAGTACGTGACTTTTTTTTTTTTTTTTTTCACTGGATATTCATCTTTATCGCGATAAATAATTCGTTTAAAGTTATTTTAAAAATTTTTTAAATTTTTCATTCTTTTTTTATCATAAATGATTTATCTTTTCGCGAAAATTTTAATCAAATTTTAATCGTAAAAATATTAATTCAAGTTGTTAATTTTATTTAACAATATTTAATTACTTGCATTTTGTTTCAAACACTCTGTTTTATTGCGTGATAAAATATGAAATATAAAATGCGCGTTAAAATGCGCTTCTCCATGTATTTTTACCGTGCATTTCATCCGAGTGATAAAGTTTAAAGACAATATTCCACGATTTAAATAAATTTCACATTTATTCCCATTACTATAAATCTACAAAATGGACATATAAAAAAGAAACAAAATATCAAAAATATAATCACAATATCTGAGGAATAAAAAATAAACCTCCATTTTTCTTACTCATGTTCATTAAAAATTTAATTTTGCGTAAAAAAAAAAAATCTACTCGTAACGAAGTTTTATTCAGAATATAGTTAAATGTTCAATTATTATGCAAATAAAATTAACATCAGAAGAAATATATAATAACATATTCATTTATATTGTTTACATAAAATACGAAATAAATACGTATTCACATAAACGTGAAATTACACAAGTTTAAATTTAAACTTGAATAATTCTTAACCTCACAATCGGAGAACACGATCGTGCAAATATCGTAACCGTGTATAAAAATTCGATCTAAAGTATATTTAATCGAACGATCAATTGCGATTGCGTTAAAAAAAAAAAAAAACGTGAATGTACAGGTAAATGAGCCAGAAAAATGTGAAATAAATTGCCTCGACCGACCGATAATCATAATAACGGCGAGAAAGGCATTTTCCTGATGACTTTCTGGGGTAGCGCAGTCATTAGTTCCCTGTTCTTAAAATAAATGTGCAACGAGCTCCAACGTTATATAGAGATGCTATATCGATTGTTACGACCTTTATTGCAATGCCACGACGCTCTGTAAAAATGGGGACATCGATGACAGAATCGCGATGTTCTCTTGTTTCGTGAAACTTTCACATTTCTTTTTTTTTTTCTTTTTTCCCCCATCCTTATATTATACCATGTTGATATTCGAGATATACAATAATAACACATCTGAAATAAAATTAAAATAAAATTGTTAAAAATAATCTCTGAACTCCATCATTGATTCATTTGAGAACAAATTTTATTATCACAAAAAATGTATAGCTTACATATAAATCCTTTTAATTATTTGAAAAATTAGTTGATGATTTTTAGAACTTGCTTAGATAAAAATGAAAGATAAGATAAAAATGAAAGATAAGATAATTCGTATTTAAATATTATATTATATAACACATATTAACACATATTATAATAACACAAAATAAATAAAATTAAAATAAAATTGTTAAAAATAATCTCTGAACTCCATCATTGATTCATTTGAGAACAAATTTTATTATCACAAAAAATGTATAGCTTACATATAAATCCTTTTAATTATTTGAAAAATTAGTTGAAGATTTTTAGAACTTGCTTAGATAAAAAATGAAAGATAAGATAATTCGTATTTAAATATTAAATTTGGAATTTTAAAATTAAATTATTTCTTCGCAATAAACATTATTCGATCTTGTTTGAATCTAATTAATTAATACGTAATATAAATATACAATTCATCTATAATAAGAGCAATAACAATACAAATAGTATATTTTTTATGATTATTTTATGTGTAAAAAAAAAAAAAAAAAAAACTGATTACTAAAAAAAAAAAAAAATTCCAAACTTGTTTTTTCGCGTCTATTTTTATCCTGTCAATGCGGAAGAGAAGAGGAAGCCAGGGAATGGCTTGTCATTAGGGACAACTTGTCAAGTCCCTAGCTTTTTATGATGTATACCTTAGATACATAAACAGAATCTATGGTTTTGCAACTTTAACTTTGGACAGGTACCTACGCAGAAAGAACACTTACATAGGGGTCGAGAAGGGGCTGACAAACCCTTCGGGCGATCCTTCCGCCCTTATTCCGTGATATTTGCATAATGACTTATGGATGAAACGTGACCACGTTTCGTAGGATCGCGACACGCACCGAAAACTTGCCGGAATTTCAATTACAGTGGAAAGATTTCAGTGGAAATTGCGCTACGATCGTATTTTATTCAAGGCGAATGAATTTTGGTATGTTGAGTATTTTAATTGTTGGAAACGGGAAAATCGTTTTGATTTTCGATAATATAAGATTTTTGAGATTTAATGTTATCGAAACGAATACGAAAGTAAGAATCGTTTCAGTAAGTAAGTTTTATTTATAGTTTAAGAATCGAACAATATTAATTAATCAAACTAATATCGTTACGTATGACCTTTTACCATCCGTAGATAAAAATCGAATTTTATCTCGATAAAATAATTCACTTTTCAGGATGATACAATTACGGTAAATATAATTACGATCAATATATTTTAATTACGTATATCACGCGTAAAACGTTATTCATTTTATTTAAGAAATATCAATTATTATTTTATTTTCCTTCCAAATTTTCTACGTAGAAAACCAGAAAATGTAAAGCGATACACAAAGCGATAAGTTTCGCGTATAAGCAATCAAAACGACGAGACGCGGCAGAAAATATAGAGTGAAAGGAGGTGGTTAAATGGCCTTGAACAACCATCTGAAACTATAGGCAAGAGGCTTACGGAGATAAAAGAATAGCACACAGTTTACTCGAGAAGTTCGTAAAAGTAATGGTAAAAGACCGATGGAACACTTCGCTTGGAAGATACATCGGATAAAGGAGATCGTTCCCTGTGATTTCGCGAGTGGCTCTTGTTCGAATGCCTTTATGGCTCGAGATTTTCCCTCCTCGAAAGTCGTCGAACTTTGAACCAAGTTTCCGCTTATAATCCCGTTATAATTAATTAAATCCGGTTATCTCGAACAAGCTACGCTCGAATTACTCGCGAAACGATGCTTTGTTTGCGCGGTGTGTTTAGGCGCGTGTGATTTCGTATGATTTCGAGGAAGTTTGACAGGCAAACAATAGCGAGGGCATGTCAACTTTCATTTCCACGAATCCCTTGATGTTGTAGGGATCACTGGAAGTACAATTCGCGTATATTTATTACTTCACCAAAATTATGAAAATTTATCTAATATTGTTTTTATGTTATAATTGTCACTTTGTTAATTAAAAATAATCGATGAAGGAGCACTTACCATCCAAAAGAGGGTTTCGTTTGCGAAGTTACTGTATTGCTCTATGGTCGACAAAACGCTAAATATGAGGCACACCAATACCACCATGAACCTGAAAGAAAATAATTTCATGTTATTTTTGTAATAAACGAAATGGAAACATTGTACGAATATTTTTATATATATTGAGGAATTTATCGAAATTTCAATCAAAATTACTCGCTATCAAATCAAGTCGAAGCAACACGTGTCGAAGCTAATTAATTTATTCATTGTGAATAGGACAATAATAATTCGATATAAATTTTTTCCAATAATTATTTAGCACATTTGCTTCCACTTGTTCGTTCGAGGCGATTCGATAGTGGTTCATACCCAACACTACCGTTGCTGCGCTCTGTGATTGACTAAGCGTTTCTTTAATAACTCGTTAACAATGTAGAAACGAAAATTTTCGCCAAAAAAAAAAAAATGTTGCTTGAAATTATATTTCAGAAATCAGTTAATTAAACTATATCGATCGATTCTCGTATGAAATAAAAATCAAACGAATATGATGAGAATGTTGAGGATAGGATTCGATTAAATCGCTTTATTTTGCGGTCATTGGAAATTCATGAGACGCCAAACGCCAAATTAATTAATCGTCGCGATGTTAATTATCAAGGAATAACAGCTTGGGGTCATGGGAAAAAGGATTTATTTATAAGCGAGCCAATTCATATGCATTATCGATTCTAACCGTTTTATCATCGAGACATTTAGATAGCCGCCGAACTGGGACGTCCGCTATATCTCTGTACAAGTTTTGCAATTCATGCGGTGGAAAGGCGCTTATAACAGCGCGTTTATTTTTAGCCATTAGCTCGTTATACGATTAAGAAAAATCACTTTTAATCACATTTGAATCAATTGAAAATGAAATTGAATTTCAAAATTTGTTGGTCATTGAGTCATAAAATATGATTATTATTATATTGATTAAAATTAACACAAATTTTTTCGAATGCCATGATACGTAATAAATCGTTAGGATAATAAGATAGAATATTATATGATAATTACGTTGAAACAGAGAAGCTTGTACGTATAGATACCGATGCAGAATTTCCCTTTCAAGTAAAATCGAAGCAATGGGATATCGACCTTCTATGATCATGAAACAACACCTCTTTGTCGAGGCCAATATCTCAAATTCCATATTAGATTTCCACGAAACCAGTATTGGATTACTAGACTATCAGACGAGACGATTCAGGTCTTTCTTAGAATTATGATCACAAGACTTGCATGGTTTTCATTTCAAAATTATGATACAATGCAAATTACATCGTATCACATCACGCATTTTGAATAATTTGTAATCTATTCAGAAATTATGCGAGATTAATATTAGAGAACGAAAAACTCGAAATTTGATCTTGAATTTTAAAATAAAATAAACCACGATAACCACTCGATATCTATCTCGAGAAATTCCCCTATTTTTTTCGTATTTCATCATTTTGAATATCGCAGAAGTCATTTCCATCTTGTATCAATGTATCTTACTTTGTAATCGCGTAATTAATCGTGCCACAAAGTTGTTTTAAGATAACTGCACTCTCGAAATAGCTCTTCTACTCTAAATTATGGCAATTAACGCGATGATAATTCTCTCAACTCAAGATATTATCTACTTCCATACAATTATCACTATAAAAAATTAAAAATTAACGCACTATTTATTAAGAAACTATCGCAAATTTATAAAATTTTTCTTTGGTAATATTTATAGATCCATTTATTTAGTTATAAACTTTTATAATTTTAAAATGTAAAATTAAATTATTATTAATTATTAAAATGTAAAATTAAATTATTCAATTAGTATATAAATATATATATATATGTCATTAAGACACATTCAAAAAACAGAGAAAATAGTGCCAATGGTGTTCCTTTTTTGTTTTACCCCGATATTTCAATCGGTTACCAAGATATAAGAATTCAAAGAGTCCATAATACTTTAGACAATGCTTAAGATATGAATGGATCCGCAACTTAGTGATCTACATTTTTTCCTGAAAGAAATGCATATTTCTTCCACTTGTCTGAAGTTTGGAATAGGTTAGCGAAGCCAGAGCTCCGAGGATTAAAAAATTACCATTCTCTTTACACGACGATATCTCAAGAACTAAAACTTGTATTGGAATAAATCAAAAAACGTTTTAAAGAATAAAATTTTACGTTTCTGATGATCGTTCATTCGTTCACCAGAAGCCACTAAGTTCGGAATTATATATATTTCAAAGTTTTTCTAATTTTAATACGCTTAGCTACGTGATATTTGTTGACGTCCAATCCATAAATGTTGGAAATAAAAATTAACGATCATCTTGCTTCTGTCATTATATACATATGAAGTGTATTTTTCACTTCGCAGAATTCTAAATAATATCGAGATATATTCAAGCAAAAGAATATGAAAAATTGTAACGATCGTTATGATGAATAGTCCGTATTACTTATGAGTCACGCTCCTTACGGAATAATTAAATCCACACACAAATTTGAAAGAAACAATAAGGGTCGTAATTACAATGCAGTGATCAATTATTCGGTAAATTATAGCTGTTTACGGTCACGAATGCACACATTATTAAATCGATCGAGTCGAAAGTCGAACTGTTGTTTTGCGTGTTTAAACATTTTCTTCATGGTTACAAAAATGTTTTACTTGATAATAAATTTATCATTTTGAAATAAAATAATTTTAAAAAAAATGAATAATTTTTTAAAGAATTTCAAATATTATTAAATGAACTTCAACTTACTGCACAAACTAAAATATTATATAAAGAAAGTATAAATTATGTTACGAAAAGAATTTTATATTTTTTCTAAAAAAAAAAAGAAAAGAAAATTGAGGGAATTGCCTCGAGATATAGCAATATAGGGCACTGTTACTCTAGTAAAATAAGTTACTTAAAATGCATGGGACTCGAAAAAGTGGGGTAAAAATAAAATTTACAGAGAGGAAACGCGATAAACTAAGAGATATAACTAGGAAGACGGAACTGTAACTTGAATGAATCCTTTTCGAATTTTCAAGTACGGCAGGCTACTGACTTAGAGACAAGGACGATCTCATAGAACATTTACTGCATGAGAAATGAAGCATGCTCTTCTCCATGATATCAAGACTATACGATCCGTACTAAACTGATCCACAGTCGAGAAACTACGAATTTCACGATTCTGACTCTCGAGAGAAAATTTAATTATTTAGTCACGATGGTCAAAATGCGACTACTATGCGACTCTTCAAGAGAGTTCTCTTATTGCAATCTACACTTATATATATATATATATATATATAAAATTTACTATTCTTTCTTTTCATAAAAATTAATTTAAAGACAAATAAACGAAGAAATACATTTACGTAAAGAATAAAAATATTCATTTTATAACAGATCTATTTTCTAAAAAAATAAATAATCTCGTTTCGAGGTTGCAACTTTTATCAGTATTTTTAAAATATTATGAAAGATATATCAAGATATATCAAGATTTGATGTACGTATATATTTTTCCATATATTTTGAAGGAAAGAAAATATTAAAATTTTTAATATCTTCATCGTTACTTACGCAAACTGTTACACGAATAATTTAATAATTTCGAAACCAATAGATATCAAATACTCGAAAGTAAAGAAGCGATTGAAAAAAAATTAAAAAGTCGCGAGCAAAATCGATTCTCATTTAAAACTCATTTCGAATTAACTTAAAATTAAACTTACAAATATACGACAAAAAAAGAAAAAAAAAATAACATATCTCGATAATACCAACGAAAATTCCCTACTTTCACTGTCACGCGAACGATGAAAATTTGCAAATCGTCTCAACAAATTTTTCCATCGATTATACACAGGTCGCGGTGAACTCGAAAGCAATTTAATTTATGCCCGCGGTCCGCATCAGCACGCGAAGACGATCCACGAGCCGATGCGGAATAACAAACGAAGCAACGATAGAATATGCACGAGCACGATATGTAGGGCGATATTTAACAGTTGGAAATGCAGATGCCTCGAGATTTCACCACTTCCTCGGTATATTCGATTCGAATAAAGCCAATCTCGCGTACCGTACCCCCTATCGTGACACCTGTGCGTTGGTTCTATTTAATTCACTCATATCAAAAAAAAAAAAAAAAATTGTAATTAGATACTTTGTGTTGAAATTTTCCACGTTTCTAGATTTTTTCTTCTTCTTAAAATATTCATTTTATAATAGACCTATTTTCTAAAAAAATAAATAATCTCGTTTCGAGGTTGCAACTTTTATCAGTATTTTTGAAATATTATGAAAGATATATCAAGATTTGATGTACGTAAAAATTTCTAAAGACAGTGCTGTTTATTAAAAATTATTTCCAAACAACCTAAAAAAAAGTATATTTAATTATTCGATACTCAAAAATTTATTTTCTGACAATATAAACAATATCGATACGATTCCAAATGCAAGGAGTTAATAATCCACTATGTGTGCATTAGACGTGGCGATAAAATAGGAACGGTAGTGATACAAATTGAAACGTGGCCGACAGCATCTCCTCCGCCCGGATACCACGGGATATTAACGCGGCGGATCGAGAGGAATCGTGGTAATCAGCGTGAACTCGACCGATTGTGCAAGCAATTTATTAGCGAGCGATAGATCGTTAAATAACGACGAGCGTTAACGAAGTCTCCACGTGTTCCACGCTTTAAGATGGCGTGTCGACCGACTATAATTCCGGGCTGCACACCTCCCTCGACTGCCACACGTTGCCTCACGGGTCACCTTCATCGACCTACTATGATAATTGTCCCTTGTTCGACCCTTTTCGCCCTTTTTACGGTGTTGGGCAAAACCTTTGGCCGTTTCGTGTCGATAAGTTTGTGTCCATTCGTTATCGTTTGCTTTTTCCCTCCCTTTCATCTTTTTTTCTTTTGTTTTTCCTTTTTTCTTTTTTTTTTTTTTTTAGATTTCCAACGCTTAATTCTTAAGTTCGTTTTAAACAAGATATATTATCCTCGATAGAGATGGGCGAAATTTAGAACGGTCGAAGTTCAGA